TACAGAAAGAGAACAAAAATGTATTAGTAAGCTTTATCTGCAGGAAGACTAACAAGAGGGCAGGAAGAACAGGAAAAATGTTACGAGATTGAAAAATATGAAACACACCCAGTCTATATAAGATATAATATAGAGTTACTGTACTGTAAGCTGTTGAATAAGGACACGCATGGTGAAAGAAAATGGGCACAGTTAATAGGGTGGTGGTGAATTTGATTAAAGCATGATATATAACAAGGTCTAAAGTATTATCAATATACGTTGAAAAAAATGGAAGGGAGGAAGTAAAATAGTCTTTTTCCAGGAGTAGGGTACCTGTGGGTGTGGGTAGTATATTGGAAAGGTGAATGAGGGTAAATATGGTGATGTATTTTTGTATTCCTATATTAAAAATAGAAGAATGAAACTTGTTTAAAATTGTTCTAAGAACGGCGGGAGAGAGAAAATAATGAAGGCGGGTAAAATGTAACTTGATAACACATTGTAGGCCAACAAAAGGTAAATATCACAATGTAATCTCCCTGTACAACTATTATATGCTAGTAAGTAAAAAAATAAAACAATATGATTAGCTCAAAATAAAATAAAATTATTACTTATTATTATTTTCTATCTTCCATGCAATGGATTCACCTGTCAGTTGGTGAAGGCTTAACCTGAAGGTGGATTTGCACAGCACAGCTTGACCTGCTTCCTTTTCTCTTGCTCTTTCAGCTGCACAGTTGGAATAGCAATTGGTTCACATAATCAGGAAGTGCATCCCATGCTGTGGAAACAAGAGGTAAAGTAGTATGAACGATGGCATTGTTCCTCATGGAAGGTCACACCATCTGGAGAGGGTCAGAACCTGCTAACCTGCTGTTTTCCCCGATTTTAAGTGAACCTCATTAAAGTTCCCTGGTGCAAAGCCGTTGTGTTTCCACAAGTCACAATTGGTCTGAAAGTAGGGGCTCCCAGCTGTTTCCTGTCATCTGCTTTCATTTGGCCAATCAGAAGAATGTTGTAAATGTATACACAGAAACTGCTTAGACTTTATAAAAACCAGTTACTGACACTCATTTTGGTTTGAAAACTTAAAAACAATAATTGTGGTATAGCCAAGAGATATATTTCCTTTGTTAACAGGGCCTTTCCTTTATGAGTTAGTGGTGATGGTGCTAATGAATTGGCATGTTGAATATTAGGACAGCATGGTGAAAGAAAATGGGCAAGTAATAGGGTGGTGGTGAATTTGATTAAAGCATGATATATACAGGTCTAAAGTATGTATCAATATACAGTTGAAAAAAATGAAGGGCAGGAAGGTAAAATAGGTCTTTTCCAGGAGTGGGTACCTGTGGGATGTGGGTAGTATATGGAAAGGTGAATGAGGGTAAATATGGTGGATGTATTTTGTATTCCTATATTAAAATAGAAGAATGAAACTTGTTGAAATTGTTCTAAGAAGGCGGGGAGAGAGAACTATGAAGGGGGTAAATGTAACTTGATACACATTGTAGGCACAAAGGTAAATATCACAATGTATCTCCCTGTACAACTATTATATGCTAATAAGTAAAAAATAAAACAATATGATTAGCTCAAAAATAAATAAAATTATTACTTTATTATTATTTTCTATCTTCCCATGCAATGATTCACTGTCAGTTGGTGAAGGCTTAACCTGAGGTGGATTTGCACAGCCACAGCTTGACTGCTCTTCTCTTGCTCTTTCAGCTGCACAGTTGGATAGCATTGGTTTCAGCATAATCAGGAAGTGCATCCATGCTGTGGAAACAAGAGGTAAAGTAGTATAACAGATGGCATTGTTCTCATGGAAGGTCACACATCTGGAGAGGCGTCAGACCTGCTACCTGCTGTTTCCCGATTTTAAGTGACTCATTAAATTCCCTGGTGCCATAGCCGTTGTGTTTCCACAAGTCACATTGGTCTGAAGTAGGGGCTCTCAGCCTGTTTCCTGTCATCTGCTTTCATTTGGCCAATCAGAAGAATGTTGTAAATGTATACACAGAAAATGCTTAGACTTATAAAAACCAGTTACTGACACTCAGTTTGTTGAAAACTTAAAAACATAATTGTGGTATAGCAAGAGATATATTTCTTTGTTAACAGGGCCTTTCTTTCATGAGTTATGGTGATGGGCCTAATAATTGGCATAATCTACAAGTGGTGATATTTTAAGATATCTGTAGTAATAGATATATGTTACAAAATTATCTGTGATTTCAGACCATGTTGCAGGTACTGCTGGTGCCACTATGAATTGTCTATATTCATAATGTAAGAAAATGTGTAATATCAGTTATAGCTTAGTGAAAATAAGGATATAATTGTCTTCCTAATTCATAGACCCCTGGATTCTCTCCAGTGACTGTCTTAGAGTCTCTGGACACTGAGTAAGGACTACTACTCTGGGGAGTTATTCCTTGGGGGATCATCTAGGTACAGAGAAGGTGTCAGGCCACTGTTGTGCACTGACCTTACCTGGGTTCATTGGAGCAAGGCATTGAGATTAGGGAGACTGGTTCACCCCATAGTCTATCTCATCTCCTCAGAGAAGTCCTCACTTCTAGTACTTTGAAGCTGGGGGTGCACTGGTCTGTTGTGCTCTGAGAAAAGCTTTTAACCATCTTTACATTGGATTTGATTTGAACCATTGTCAGAGATGTAAATCTTATTATTCTATGGCCTCTCCACCTACTAGCCCTATTTATTTATTGGAAAGAAATTCTGTTTTTTAAATCAGGGCCATAACCTTACCAGTTGAGAAATAGAAACTTATTTCTAAAGGCTATAAAGCACTGAATAAAGGAAGAGAAAAAATAGTCTGTGCCTGTGTGTCCATCAAAAGATTTTCTTTCCAAAGTAGTTATTTAAATGTGTGAAAACAATTTTAAACATTTGCTTTTTTCTCCTTACCTCCCTTCAACAAAGAGTTAAGACAACTTGCAAAGATATACAAAATATGCTCAGAGAGCATAAAATGCAAGTAGATGGGAATTGACCTTGAAGAAATAAGGCTATAGATCAGATTGAGCCATAAGGATGTGTACACAATGGCATTGTTCAAGCAGAACTGGCCAAAGGTCTCAAACTTGGTTAAATCAACAGTGGTTCAGCTATGAAGTAAAAAAACCATGAATTTCTGAAAATGTAGTAGAAATACAATTTTTGACATCCAACATTCTCTTCCCATTTTTTGGAGACAAGGTCTGACTGTCTAGCCTACTCTGGCCTTGAACTCATGATCTTCCTGCCTCAACCTCTCCAGTGCTGGGATTACAGACATGTATGGTCACACCTGTCTATTTTCTTAATTACGTAAATTGAGTGAAAAATACAAGTTACAGAATATCTGTCCAATCTGGGTGCATTCTGGGTAACAGGAAAAAGGTGCATCTTATTGCCCAGGTGTCATTGTGTTATCAGTGGCTGTCTGCTGGGTTTTACTGTTTTCCTTTGATTTATCTGTTCTCCTAAATTGTAGTTTCTAAATTTTTTTGGAATTTACATCATGAAGGTAACTTTTCAGCAGGAGTTCAAATTTTTCATTTAAAAAAAATAAAATGAGAAATAAGGAATACAGCGTTAATAAAGGTAAAAGCATAAAGATGGAGCCAAATAGAAATCCAACCCTCCCAACCTAGTTTATCTACTTGCCTAAGATGAGCCATTGTTTGTCTCTCAGTTTTCAGTAGCCAAAACCAAGAAGGAAACCTAATCGTTTAAAGTTGTTCAGTGTCTGTGATAAATGCAAACCAAGCTGGGAGGACGTTTTTCTGATATAAAATAATAAAGTATGCAATATGTAGTAGAAGAAGAATTCAAGCTGTTTTTGTTTCATAGCCTCTGCCTCCTTGTCCCCTCTTCCCTCTAAAATAGGGATGAGAATTACATGTTTTAATTTCTGAGAAAGCTTTTTCTCTCTGTTTTTAAGCCCAGGGCCTCACACATGCTAGGCAGGTGCTTTACCTCTTGAGCTATGCCTCTCCCGTCTTTGTGTTTTGTTTCTGAGATAGAGTCTAGTTAACTTTGTCAGGGTTAGTCTCCAGCTCTCAGTCCTTCCGCCTCTGCCTTCAAGTAGCTGGGATTACTGGCATGCACCACTACCCCTGACTAAAATTTTATGTCTTTTTTTTTTTTTCCGGTGGTGCTGAGGATCTAACACAGGGCCTTGGGCATGTTAGGCAAGTGCTCTATCATTGCGCTACTTCCTCAGCGCTTAGAAGGTCTTCATTTAGCACAAAGAAGAAATAAGGACAGGGTGAATCAAATGCGATTTTAGTATAAATAGTTGAAAGGAGTGGATATTTCCTTACTATGGTGCATTTATGTATACACATAATCTGTGGTGACCAGAGATAAACAGACTTCCCATGCTCTCAGGGATTCATCAGTAATTATCAACTGGGAGTCAGGGTTGTCTAAATCTTAGGACAGTACAAGGATAAAAGAAGTAGAGTCACTTCAGAGCTTTCAAACCTTCAGGTTGATATATCACAAAATCTGCCACTGTGTAAGATGGTACTTGTCCTTAGTTTCTTGGCCCAGGGGCCATGTGTGTTTTACATGTCCTTTACAGGTGTAAAATCCTATCATTGCAGACTACCTCCTTTTATTCATTAGTTTCACTTCTAAATAGGTCTTGTTGAAGACACTGCAGGATCAGCCCTTTCCTGAACTCCTTCCAGAAAATTGTGTTTTAGCCTCACCCCCATGCATTTCATAGGTGTAAAATTCAGTGTTTTGTTCATTATTTTATACCATATACTGACCTAGGGGCTGAGGACATGATGGTGAGCAAAACAGAATGCTTTTACATAGTTTGCATTTCTAATTGTGAGGAGGAAAACAAATAAGGAATGAAATAAAAAAGATCATTTTGTTAATTGCTATAAAGAAGAGGAAATGGGAGGGAGATGACCAGGAATGTTGGTTCTCTTTTGTACATGGCACCATGGTAAGCTAATCCATGCATTTCAATGAACAGAAGAACTGCAGTTGGTAAGTTCTGGGCTCATTGTTCAAATGTTGGAAAGCAAGCTCCTTCTAGTGTAACTATGCAGGTCCTCAGATTCAGGAAGGTGCTCTTCTTTTTCCTTTGTAAAGAATATTAACATTGCCAATGAGTGGATTTTCTAATTTCTCAGTCTTGGCTAACATGCCCTAAAATTAAAACTGTCCTTATATCTCAATATTTTTATTCAGCATGTAAGAATAGATTATAAAGTATTTGTCCTTTTGGCTTTTAAAAATTGGTTAAATATGACATCTTTAAAAGAATGTATTTTGCCTCTTTAAAAACTCTTCATGTGTTGCCTTTGGCAAGAGAACAGGAAAGTTTCTTTCCCCACTGATGACTGAGCTAACTCGAGGGCTGAAGTGTGCAGCACATCCGTGAAATCCTAGACAGCTGTACCAAATCCCACTCCCTTGCTAAGAGCCGAAATGAGTGACAGGGGACTTTAATTACAGCAGCTTTTAGTGGAACTGAGGAAAAAAAAAGCGTTTGGCTTTGTTGGCCTAACTTGTGATGTGTTCTAACATTTTTCTAATTAAATCATCACTGTTTCTTGTCTCAGGGATCAATGAGCAAGGACTCTACCGAATTGTGGGGGTCAACTCAAGAGTGCAGAAGTTGTTGAGTATCCTGATGGGTGAGTGCTGTAATGACTCTGCCAGGAGGTATCTGAAAAGTCACCAGGTCCCCAAGTAGGGCCAGCCTCCAGGGAAGGAATCAGGGTGTCCAAGAACTGATGTCTAGAAATCCACTGCCCCATTTGCAGTTGTTGTGGCTGGGGGCATTAATGGGAGAAGCTCTGAGTGGGACTGTACAAGATGAGAAACATGAGTTCCAACAAGCACCACATCCTCTCTTAAACTCGGCTGCTGCCTGTCCAAGTGGTGCCGGGTCACTCATGCAACCCCCACACCCTATTCTGTTCTGTCTTTAATAGCTCATGACTTCCCCTGTTCTCTTTTTGGGGCAGGTATTTGGTAGGACACACTCAAAGTCCAAGGAAGGGCATCATTCTAGCCCACAGAGGACCTCAGAGCTCATGTTCCTGTTACTGAGGATGTCATGTAACCTAGATAAAATATATATATATATATATATATATATAATATATATATATATAAATCTTTGGATCCTCTTTGCTTCTAGATTTCAACCTAGTGCCTGTCACTTGAGCAGCAGAACTTCTTTGCCCCTGGCTAATATAAATATAAAACCATTATCTCCAAATGTGCAGTATTCAAATCAAAAACTCCTGAGCCCATGAACCAAAGTTGCTTAGGCTGCAGATTTCCTGTATTTTTAGATGAGTACAGCCAGCCTCAGTGAGTCACATGGATGTACATGGCACACAGATCAGATTTCACAGGTCAGTGGCTGTTATTTATTTCCATGAAAGCCCCTGGATTTGATAAGATGGACTGTCACCTGGGATTCCAGCTTGGTGTTCTGTGCAAGGACAGTACTCTTGTTAGCATTTGTCATTTCTTTTGCCAGCCCAATTTCTGAAAATGGATTTCATATGTGAAGAAATCTTCTCTCTCCTAAAGGCCAGAATGACTGTTTTCTCTCTGTTTTGGGATTGCTTTTTACCGGTGGTATGCAAAGCCTTATAGTACTCTGAGTTACAGAAAGAGCTTCAGTTTGAAATCATGATTATCAGAGAGGTCCTCCAGCACCGAGCAGTGCTTTTCATTTGAGATTTTGGACATAGTTAAGGTTTTTTCACTAAACTTTTTATCTCGAGGTAATTAAAAATCCACATGTGACTGAAGAAATTACCCTTTACCTACTTTCTTCCAATGATAATATCTTGCAAAACTATATCTCAATGTCACAACGAGGGTATTGACATTGATACAAACAAGATACAGAACATTCCATCCCCATTAGGATCCCTTGTGATGCCCTTTAATATTACATTTATCTGCCTTATCCCTCACCTTACACCCCAACCCTAGCTTCTGGCAGCCAGTAGTCTGTTCTTTGTTTCTCTAATTTGGTTCTCTCAAGATTGTTTTGTAAATAGAATCATAAATATGTAACTTTGGGGGATTGGCTTTCTTTTTTTTTAAATCATAATTCTAGTTGTTGCATGTAACAATAGTTGCTTATGTTTTTACTACTATGGAATATTCCATTGTATGGATATTCCATAGTCTGTTAAGCCATTCACCCATTGAAGGACATCTAGGCTCTTTCCAGTTTGAGATTGTTATGAGTAATGTTCCTACAAATACTTACATACAGGTTTGTGAACAAAAATTTATTCTTCTGGTATAAATGCCCAAAAGTAGCTGAGTCATAGCACTATGGCTAAGTTTTGAGAAAGTCTAATGTAAGAAAGACTTAAGAGTCTAATAGGTATCATTTTTGGCCAAAGCTACAAACACTTTTGGAGTGTCTGAAAAAGTGGTCAGGTGCTACCATTAAGCTTTAGAAGGAGTGGGTGCTTTTCTACAGATTCTTGGTAGGGTGAAATGTGCATTCATCTGAAAGCAATGTCGTAAAAATATGATGTTAACATTTAATGTGAGTTGGATTTGAAAGACTGAGTAATGAAGGAGAGAGTGGAAGAAAAATTTAGATTCAGGAAATATGAACCATGCCATTGGAAAAAGAAATTGGGATGTGCAGTGACTATAGCAGAGACACTATGATAACATAACTTTAATATTTGAAAGAACTACTTGAGGCTGGATCAGGAGTGTTAAAGCTGAAAAGCCAAGGTGGTGTCTTTTGTTGAAGAACTTGAATACTGCTGAGGAGTTTGGGTTTTGGGCTGAAGGAAATAAGAAATTCCTAAAAGTTCAAAGAGGTGGAGTTGTACACATTATGACTCTTTTGCACATTGTCAGAAGACAATGTAGAATACTTCAGAGTTAAGAAGCCATTTATTTGATCATGTAGCTGGGAAATCCAAGGTGACAAGAATGGCAGGGTCTGGGGACTCCAGTGACATCTTTACTTTGGTTGGAACCTTCCCCCTTCATTCTTCTACCTTCTCATTATCTGTGTCCTCTTCTGGTCTTGGTATTGGCTTTATTCTCGTGGGAGTGTACTTGATAGGTCCAGCCACAGTAGTGTTGGAGCTTGCATTACTCAGAAGAGAGTGTCTTTTGTGACAGTTTTGGCAGAAAGCCACAGGGAGAACTTTGATTGGCCAGTATGGAGCCATTCACATGATTCATTTCTCAATCTGGGGCCAATCACATGGTCCACAGCAGATGAATCCAAGTCTCCTGGAGCCTGTGCCTGTCTCTGGAGGTCTGAGGATGGGGGAAAAAGAGGTGGAGTAGGATTGGGGTTTGTCCATGGAACCAAGTGGACTGAAAAGGATTACTGATGGAATGATAGAGGAGTGCGTAACTGAAATAATGACTGCTGGTTGTTGAAGAGGTGTGTCTAAGACAGGTGTAACAGGGTCAGATTCTAGCTTTTGAATGATCACCTGGCAGCAATGTAAAGCATGTATTTGATCATGGAAATACATGGAGGAGAAAAGATACAGTTGCAATAGATTAGGCAGAGCATACCTGATACAGGGCTGAACCAAGTAACTGGTTTGAGGCCAGGAAAAAAGGACAGGCTCAAAATCATCATAGAGAGAGAACTGACAAGACTTTGTAACCAACTGGATGTGGGGGAGCAGAAGGGGCAGAGAGATTTCAAAGACAACAGATGATTATGTAAGGTGACACCGATGAAAAGAAATATGACATTTTAGACTACTTTGCTAATCTAAAAAAGAACCACCTGGGCTCAGTTGTTCTGAGCAAAAGAGTGGTTTTGAAAGGAGCTTGTTTTTATCACTTTGCTTGGTGGCCCTTAAACAAGTATTTGTCTCGTTCTCTTCCTCAGTTTTTCTAGGGATATAGATATAATCATGAACATCTGAGAAATGTCATGAAAAAGTAATAACTAGCAGCTGAAAGTCACAAGGCAGCTGCCTCTGCCAGGAGGACATTTCAGATAGACTGGAATCCCAAACTGAGATCCAGAGCTGAGAGATGACCAGGATGCAAGATCTGCTCATCTGAAATCAAGACTGGTACTTGTGCTTCTCCTACCTGTAAAGTCTGAACCTTGCAGTTGAGGAACCACCTGTGACTATTCTGTCATCTTCATCCATTCTTGGTCCTGGTGCTGGGCTGGGCCAGCCAAGAGTGTAAAATAAAAAACATTTTCCTGTGACGGCTGGGCTCAGTATGAACCTCTCACTCATTCTTCCTTTGTTATATATCTTTTGGATGTCCTATCACAGTCCAGGCACTGTAGAAGGTTTGGTTTATTTGTTCTGAGGCTCTCAAAATTAGAATAGTGTGTTTGGATTATTGAAAGTATGATTTAGAATTTGAACCAGAGACTAAGTTTGATCATGAGTTAAATTTTTTACTCTTAATGCACTGGGAGACTGCAGGTTGGAAGAGAAGTATGAGGACCAGTGCTTTGAGAATGTCTTTGTTTTACTGATTAAGATTCCTTAAGAAAGCTTACTAGAATTCCTCATAGCAAATGCAGTGTCATTCTGTAATGCATGCTGGTGTTGTGCTGAGTGCTACCTTCTATCTCATCCTCCTAGCAATAGAGACCTTTGGATAGTAAAAAGGACTCAGGAAGACTTGTGCCTTCCTCAAAACAGAATACCTTTGCTGTGTATGCTGGCTTTTCCCCTTGAATATTAACTGAAAATATATCATATATATATATATCTACATCAGTTCTGTGCCCGTTCAACAAAGCATGTATGTCTCCCTTTCTCTTTGTGTATATTTTGAATAACTATTTTTCTGACTAAAGTTATGTGATCATTGTAGAAAATTAGGAAAAATATAAAAAGTAGAAAGAAAATGAAGAGTCCCACAGGCCACAAACAACCTTTATTATTAACTGTTTTATCAAACCACCTTTTAAAAATTTTTAAAAAAATCTTTTAATTTTTCTTTTGAATTATCATACATTAGTAATATGAAGGGGTTTCATTGTGACAATTTCATGCATGCATGCACTGTACCTTGAGCAAGTTCATCCCCTCCATTATATTTCCATTTTCCTTCTTCTTCCTTCCTCCCTTTTCAAACAGTGTTTGGTGGGTTTCATTATGCTATTTTTATATGTATATATGTAGTATATGTCCATTCTCTTCACTCCTCAGTATCCTTTCCAAATCACCTTTTAATATAGTATTACAGAGCATAATATAGTGATATAAATATAGTACTGTATCAATGTGTTTACAAAACTGGACTCATTGTGTACATTACAGGTTTTTTTTAAACAGACTATATTCATATAACACTATAAAGCGCCTGTTTTCCCTTATTTTTAAGTTCTCCTAGAGTGTGACTTTCTCGGGCATGTATTATGTAGGTGTACTATAACCTTTTAATCAGTCTCCTGTTCTTGTGTATGTAGGCTGATTGCAATTCTTCATCATTCTAAAAGGCACTCAGATGCACATTTCATGGGGCAAGACAGCAGAACTTAAGATCAAGCATTATGGAGTTAGACAGCTCCACTGCTTATCCATCTGACTTCAGACATATGTTTTAAATTGGTCTGGTCTTCTCTCTCCTCTTCTGTAACAGTCATCCCTGCCTCCATAGTAATGTGAAGCTGAAATGAGAAGATACATGTGGG